CTGCTAGAGTAGGCCATTAATGGTAAGTAATAACAAATCCAGTATCCACTATCACAGTCAGGTCTGCTAGAGTAGGCCATTATGGTAAGTAATAACAAATCCAGTACTCACTATCACAGTTCAGTCAGGCATGCTAGAGTAGGCCATTATGGTAAGTAATAACAAATCCAGTACTCACTATAACAGTCAGGTATGCTAGAGTACCATTATGGTAAGTAATAACAAATCCAGTACTCACTATCACCAGTCAGGTCTGCTAGAGTAGCCATTATGGAAAGTAATAACAAATCCAGTATCCACTATCACAGACAGGTATGCTAGAGTAGGCCATTATGGTAAGTAATAACAAATCCAGTACTCACTATCACAGTCAGGCCTGCTAGAGTAGGCCATTATGGTAAGTAATAACAAATCCAGTATCCCCTATCAGTCATGCCTGCTACAGTATGTCATTATGGTAAGTATTAACAAACCCAGTATTCACTATCACAGTCAGGTCTGCTAGAGTAGGCCATTATGGTAAGTAATAACGAATCCACTATCCACTATCACCTTCCCGCCTGCTAGAGTACGCCTTTATTGTAAGTAATAACAAATCCAGTATCCACTATCACAGTCAGGCCTGCTAGAGTAGGCCTTTATTGTAAGTAATAACAAATCCAGTATCCACTATCACAGTCAGGCCTGCTAGAGTAGGCCATTATGGTAAGTAATAACAAATCCAGTATCCACTATCACAGTCAGGCCTGTCAGAGTAGGCCATTATGGTAAGTAATAACAAATCCAGTACTCACTATCACAGTCAGGTCTGCTAGAGTAGGCCATTATGGTAAGTAATTACAAATCCAGTACTCACTATCACAGTCAGGTCTGCTAGAGTAGGCCATGATGGTAAGTAATAACAAATTCAGTACTCACTATCACAGTCAGGTCTGCTAGAGTAGGCCATTATGGTAAGTAATAACAAATCCAGTATCCACTATCACAGTCAGGCCTGCTAGAGTAGGCCATTATGGTAAGTAATAACAAATCCAGTATCCACTATCACAGTCAGGCCTGCTAGAGTAGGTCATTATGGTAAGTAATAACAAATCCAGTACTCACTATCACAGTCAGGTCTGCTAGAGTAGGCAATTATGGTAAGTAATAACAAATCCAGTATCCACTATCACAGTGAGGCCTGCTAGAGTAGGCCATTATGGTAAGTAATAACAAATCCAGTATCCACTATCACAGTGAGGCCTGCTAGAGTAGGTCATTATGGTAAGTATTAATTAACAAATCCAGTACTCACTATCACAGTCAGGCCTGCTAGTGTAGGCCATTATGGTAAGTAATAACAAATCCAGTATCCACTACCACAGTCAGGCCTGCTAGAGTAGGCCTTTATTGTAAGTAATAACAAATCCAGTATCCACTATCACAGTCAGGCCTGCTAGAGTAGGCCATTATGGTAAGTAATAACAAATCCAGTATCCACTATCACAGTTCAGTCAGGCCTGCTAGAGTAGGTCATTATGGTAAGTATTAATTAACAAATCCAGTACTCACTATCACAGTCAGGCCAGCTAGAGTAGGCCATTATGGTAAGTAATAACAAATCCAGTATCCACTATCACAGTCAGGCCTGCTAGAGTAGGCCATTATGGTAAATAATAAGAAATCCAGTATCCACTATCACAGTCAGGCCTGCTAGAGTAGGCCATTATGGTAAGTAATAAGAAATCCAGTATCCACTATCACAGTTCAGTCAGGCCTGCTAGAGTAGGTCATTATGGTAAGTATTAACAAATCCAGTATCCACTATCACGGTTCAGTCAGGCCTGCTAGAGTAGGTCGTTATGGTAAGTATTAACAAATCCAGTATCCACTATCACGGTTCAGTC